AAATCTTGTGATAAGTGCTCACCTTAGCATGTAGTGCAAATGTGTTAAGTCAGGTGCAGGGCACTATAGTGGTCCAAATAGGCTCCGCCCTATGCATTTCATGGAAACCCATTTCTTCAGGGACCTGGTCCCTGAAGATGTGGGTTACCACAGCGTGTAGGGCAGAGCCTATGTTGTGACATTGTGCACGCCTCCATCGGGCGCGTACCGCCATATTACCTGCCTGTATTCTGATATACTTGTGACTACCACATAGTATAATAAGTGTACATTGTGGAAGATATTGGGCATGGGTTTTTGGTTCTTTTATTTCTAAGTGACAGTGGTGCTTTTCCTGGAGCTGAGGCGGGCAGTGAATCCTGGGTGCCATCCATGCAGATCCATCTGATGCTGACCTGCTGTGTTTGGGATGAGTGGTGAACCATGCTATTGTAACCTCTTATAATATGGAGGTTAACCCCTTGGTAAGCAGGTTTTTCTGATGGTCATGGTCTCTCACTCAGAGGTGCGATCCTTGAATCACAGCATCGGTGGGATAATAGGGGATGTACTCTAAGCCTCTATTATGCATGAACATTTATATATACTCTATTGTCAAAAGTATTGGATGTCTGCCTTTACACGCACATGAACTTGAATGGCATCCCAGCCTTAGTCCATAGGGTTCAATATTGAGTTGGCCCACCCTTTTCAGCTATAATAGCTTCAACTCTTCTGGGAAGGCTGTCCACAAGGTTTAGGAATGTGTGTCTATGGGAATGTTTGGCCATTCTTCCAGAAGTGCATTTGTGAGGCCAGGCACTGATGTCGGACGAGAAGGCATGGCTTGCAGTCTCCACTCATCCCAAAGGTGTTCTATTTGGTTGAGGTCAGTCAAGTTCCTCCACCCCACACTTGCTCATCCATGTCTTTATGGACCTTGCTTTTCGTACTGGAGCACGGTCATGTTGGAACAGGAAGGGGTCATCCTCAAACTGTTCCCACAAAGTTGGGAGCATGAAATTGTCCAAAATGTCCTGGTATGCTGACATTTTAAGAGTTCCCCTTCACTAGAACGAAGGGGCCAAGCCCAACCCCTGAATAACAACCTCACCCCATAATCCCCCCTCCACCAAACTTTACACTTGGCACAATGCAATCAGGCAAGTACTGTTCTTCTTGCAACCGCCAAACCCAGACACATTCATTGGATTGCCAGACAAAGGAGCGTGATTCATCACTCCAGAGAATTCGTCTCCACTGCTCTAGAGTCCAGTGGTGGCATGCTTTACACCACTGCATCCAACGCTTTGCATTGCACTTGGTGATGTAAGGCTTGGATGCAGCTGCTTGGTCATGGAAACCCATTCCTTGAAGCTCTCTACGTACTGTTGTTGTGCTAATCCTGAAGGCCTCATGAAGTTTGGAGGTCTTTCCCTATTGACTCTGCAGACATTTGGCAACTTCTGCTGTGTGCTTCAGCATGCGCTGGCCCTGCTCTGTCATGTTTCATGGCTGAGTTACTGTTGTTCCCAGTTGCTTCCACTTTGTTATACCACTAACAGTTGACCATGGAATATTTAGGAGCAAGGAAATGTCATGGATGGACTTATTGCACAGGTGACAACCTATCACGGTACCACGCTTGAATTCACTGAGCTCCTGAGAGCGACCCATTCTTTCACAAATATTTATAGAAGCAGTCTGCATGCCTAGGGGCTTGATTTTATACACCTGTTGCCATGGAGGTGATTGGAACACCTAAATCTAATGATTTGGAGGGGTGTCTCAATACTTTTGGCAATATAGTGTAGTTTGCACTATTTCTGAGAATCATTACAAGTGTTAGACTAAATGCACTTTGATTTCATGCATCATAGCACTTTATGGATTTTTAAGATTTGTATGTATTCGTTATGTGAAATGTTGAACAGAATGACTTCTAAAGAATTCTGAATTTATTGAATATGAATTTATTTGCACATTAGCACTTTGTTGTCTTGCACATATTAGCACGTTATGACAGATTAACTTCAGTGTGTGTAGCACTTTATTGATTTAAAATGAGATTAAAAACCCAGCTATGCAACCTACTGTTCCCACAATGGCAACTTGTCAGCCCTGTATGGCCTAAGACCCTGATTAATCACAGATCCATCTGTCCTTGAACTCCTGCCTGTGACCTTGTGCTATTGCATGAACAGGTTGGCAAACATGCTTTGCCAAATGTGCAGGATGAGCCTACTATCTATTCAGATGTGCTGGATCCTTAGTGGGGAACACAGCTCTTCTGTGAATCCTTGGTCACCTTCATCAAGAAATTCACTGGTGGGTCCATAATGTCTTCAATAGGAAGTAGAAATTAGAGCTTGTCTCCACTTCCAAAAAATTCCATTAGTACACCCCCCCCCCCCCTTACACAAAACACTAAACAGTTAATATAATTTGAAAATCCTTACCATTTAGGATAAAAGTCTAAATGAATTTTCATGACTCCATCTCTGTAATTCAAAAGATAACAGCATCTGCTTTGCAAGGTGGAAGTATAACAAAAGGGATTGCATCATATCCTCTCCTCTCTTTCTGCAGTAAAAGGAAACTACAGTTCCCATGAACCACAGAAAATTGTAGTGAATGTGGGTGGGTACACTAGGCCTGTACATTTTGATATGGCGCTACCCAATGCTTTAAGATTAGTGCTAAAAGGTGTGCTAAGAAATGGAAATCTAAAGTGCTAAAAAAAACACCTCCCTCCATTTAAGTGCATCATTTTTCAAACTTAAAATGTTTTTGTGCATTGCATTACAATTGCATCCTCCTCCTCAAAATTAGTATACAATGTACTACAAAACACCTCCCTCTACTTAAACACAACGTATGCTCATGTGTGAAATCTATACAGTTATAAATATTTATATCAGCCACTTATGCAAATATACAGTTTATGCAATCCCAGTAGCGAATCCTTGAAAGTGCTCTTATGGTGCAGTCCACATAAAGTGCTCTTAAATTGATAAATAAGTGCTATGTTCCTCCGTGTGAAACTCATGCTCCTCCCTTTTTTGGTTCCGCACTTCCCAGAACTCCAAGACTCCCTTTTTACATGCCCTTGACTTCCACCGTCTCCTTGGCTCTTCTGTGTCCCCTCTCAGTGTTTCTTGGGTCCCCATTCTCCATCTTCCTCCACTCCACCAATTATGTTCCAAGAGAACCAAAAAGCGGAACTCCAATAGTGTATTATCGTTTATTAAAACTTCACACAAATATGCAGAAATGCACTTACATTAAAAACATCCAAACCTGCTTTACTCATGGTTCAAGGATGCTCTTGCGTTCCATGGACCGGAACTATACATGCCTGATGAAGGGGTCCTGCGCGGCTCCGAAATGCTGCACTTTCTTTTGTGATGTGATCTTTTTGCAATAAAAACCTCTTTGGCCCATATTTGGAGATCCTTGCTTTGCTGGCGAATATGTAAATTTTTCCTATGATGTTTCCAGTCCCAGCTGGTAGTCGCTACAGCACCCGCCATTGATGAGCGGTATTTCCAGGAATGTGTGCGATGGGAATATAGATAAGAATGTCCCCTCCTGAGTCAGTGACAATTTCTCTCCACACCAGGTCTTCCTTTCAGTCCACTTCAGTCCAAACCACACTCACAGTCCCACTCTCAGATTGCCTTGTTCCCGTCCCACAGACCTGCATATGAGGCTCCAGCTGCTCTGTACACCTCCCTTGCACCATGACATCACACAACACACTCAGGCACCGCCTCTGCCAGACCACCCTACCAGCGCCACCCAAGCACACTGTAGCAGGCACTCGGATTGTCTTGGCTAGCTCAGGACCAGAACTGTACATGTGCAGTTCCAAGCCAAGCGTCAAAGCCATATTTTGAACTGGCAACCTTTTCCTGCCACTGGCGTTTACTGGCAGTAAATATACTGACTGTTGGCAACACTGACCTTTTAGGGATTTTCCTTTAATTGGTTTACTATTCCAAAGGCAGAAAGGTGGCATTTACCCTGAAGGTCATCAAAAAATTCCTCTGGGTCCAAAAATCTGCAAGGTGTCCTCTCTTTAGTAAGGGGATCTCCTGGACTCGGTGGACATGAAGGATGTTTACATCTCCGTTTTACCTCCACCTCAACACCTCCTGCATTTTTCTGCGGATGAACAGCTCTTCCAGTTTGTTGCTCCTGCCTTTTTACAAGTCCATGGCTCACTGGGTCTTCAATAAAGTGCTAGCCTTTGCCCTTGTCCTTGCAATGCCAAAGGCATTCAGTAATCCTTGTTGCACAAACTGGCCCATTAGGACAAGATACTCCATTTCACTCAGACTTCTGGCATTCCCTGTGGCCCATTCCAGTCCTCCCAGACCTTCTGTCTCAAGGGCCAGTCCACCATCCTGCTATCACAGCTTGGTTGTTCATGCCCAGGTCCTGAGCAGCAGGGATGTGTCTGATTTGGTCATCCCTATGCTTCTAAAAACTAGAATGTAATTTCTCCCATGGTCTGCCATTGCACCTGAAAGGTTTATTATGCCTTGTGTTAGAAGAGGAGGTTCCATCCTAGGAAGTACTCCATGTATCCTGGCATTTCTCCAGTCAGATCTGAATTATGTTTGACCTTGAGCACCAAGGGGATGACCTTGCTACTGTGGGCACTTGGCAAGGGGGAGGAGCCAGGACCGTAGGCAGGGGACCCAAAAAAAGAGAGAATCGGGGAGGTTCTGTCTAAATTTTGTGCAAAACCATTACGCAGAGCAGGTTAATAAGATGTATTTTTTTCCTGTTGGCCCTGCCCAGTTCTCTTCTGTAAACTAAAACTTCTGATACCCCCATGTTATGAAGATGAGGTAAGGGTAGGCGTTCTGTAGTACAAATCAAAAGCGTGCAGCCCTAGGCGACAATGTTGCTCATGTGTAGATACAGTATAGTGAATGTTGTTATCCTGAGACAGGAATTGTGATACTGGCAGGATCAGAAAGTGAAAATAGAGGATAAAAATAGACTATCACAGGGCTTGAAATTTCCACTCGCCTGCTCGCCAATGGCGAGTGGAAATTATGGTGGGGGCGAGTGTGTCCCCCAGGGCCGTCTTGCTGAGCAGGCTCGGAGCTCAGGCCGGATCTGTCATTGGCACTGGGAGCCGTCAGACTGCTCAATAGCTGAGCGCAGTGAAGCAAGGAGTGTGTGCTGTGCTCTCTGCCTCCCTCTAGAGTGCAGTACTCAGATCTGTGAGTGAACAACGAAGTACTGCAACTTTTTATGTGTGTGTACGTGTACTTGTGTGTTTGTGTGTGTCTGTGTATGCATGTACAATTGTACATGTGTCTGCGTGTATGTACGTGTGTGTTTGTGTGTATGTACGTACATCTGTCTGTGTATGTATGTACATGCGTCTGTGCGTCTGTATTTCTGTGTATGTACATGTATCTGTGTGTATGCGTGTCTGTACGTGCCTGTGTGTGTATACTGTACATGTGTCTGTATGTGTGTGTACATGTGTCTCTGTGAGTGTGTGTATATGTTTCTTTGTGTGTATATGTGTGTGTATATGTACATGTCTGTGTGTGTGTGTGTGTGTGTGTGTGTGTGTGTACAGGTGTCTCTGTTTGTGTGTGTTTGTTGGTGGCGAGTAACTCTAAGGCCTGGCTAGTAGCTCAGGACTTGAAATTTTAAGCTCTGGACTATCACATCTAAAACTGATGCCACATGGTCGAGACTGCTGCTAGCAACAGAACCGCCAACAGTAGCTTAGTGGCTAAGTGGTTAGCACTTCTGCCTGGCAGCTCTAGGGTCCTTGGTTTCGAATCCCAACCATGGCATTACCTGCCTGGAGTTTGCATGTGCCTGTGTGGGTTTCCTCTGGGTACTCCGGTTTCCTCAAACACTCTAAAGATCTGCTGGTAGGGTAATTGGCTCCTGTCGAAATTGGCCCTAGTATGTGTATGTATGAATTTGAGTTAGGGACATTTGATAGTATGCTCCTTGAGGGTTAGGGGACTGATGTGAATGTACAATTTATATGGTAATTGCTGCATAAATTGACAGTGCTATATAAGTACCTGTGATAAATAAAAAATAAGTCAACATAACTAAGAGGCTGCATGTCTGTCCCTATGGAATCACTCCCTCAGAAGCTGAAATGCTCCATTGAACACTGCCAAATCTCAGTTGCTAGCAATGGGAGCGACATCTTGCTTCCTTAGGTAGTGAGGGATACTACAGGGAGGCAGGTTCTCATTGATTCTGCCGCTGGTGATTGCGGCCGCACTCTAGCTGCAGAGTTGCCCATCTGACATCAGCCCAAGGATTGGCAATCAATGTATTTCTTTGGTTTTTTTTTGTTTGTTTTTTTTGTTTTTTTGTTTTTGTTTGTTTCTTTGTTTTATATTTACACTTTAGGCCAGATGTGGCTTTAAAAGCACCCTTCTGCAATCCACCTTAGCCATTTGTATACTTTTTATGTATTTATGGTATAGACTTTGACACTCTATGATTTCATTGCATGAAAGACTATACATCCTGATGGAATTATATGCTCCATTATTTGTTGTGTACAGGGAGGGAGGTGTTTATTAAATTACATGGTGTAGCTGGTATCTGGAGAGATGCAATACAGTCATTACGAGTTCATAGTCTGAGCTTCGGCTTAATGCAGAAATGTCCTTTTCCCCCCTAATCCCCGACTGCTCATTCTTTGGTTGTCTGCTGATGTGAGGTTTCTTGGCTGTGCTCCATGTATTATTCAAGGGTTTAATGCATTTTCACTGTCTTCCATTCTGTTATGCTTCTTCCTTTCCTGCTGATGCTACAGAAATAGAAACACTGAATTTGTATTTTTTTTTCTTCTGTCCTTTTTACATTCTAAATTTAGCTGTGAGGCTGCCCTGCGGTTCTTGTGGCGCAGAGAAAGATGGGGGCTCGCGTGTGGAGGAGCGAACATGCAAGTCTCCGGGGCTACCTTGTTCTGCTCTGTTGCTGAAATCTCATTAACCGTTGCAGGAACCAAGGCTATCCAACCATATTCTCACAACGTCAGCCACTCCGTACATATGGAGTGTGTGACCTCTACTTCTCTGTCTTGGATCAATGATGATCTCAGCCCTCCCAATTCCAAGAGGGGGTTGCTAATGTATGACATATAATTGATTGCAGTAAGTTTCATTTATCTGACCAATCTCATTAATTGGTCTTATATTTGGGAAAAATGGTCAGAAAAAAAAAAAAACAAGGAAGGAATACCTCAGACTTTCATCCTATACTCCTGATCCAAGAACCTCCATAAAAACAGCAGCCTGTCTTAGGCCTCATGTACACGTGAATAAATAGCATATGGATTGTGCATACATTAAACTTAGTGCAATAATTATATAATTTTTTATATATATATAATTTTGATATTCAATACACAGATATTATACTGATCTTATTCAGTCCCAGTTCCTGAGAAATAAGGTGCAAAAGTGCTAAATACTTGGTTGTGAACTCCGTAATAAAGTGACAAATGCTCTACTCTGCTCAAAACGATGCCCCACATGGATTTGCACTCACCGTCATCCCATGACCACCTATCTCTAAGATGGTCTTATGCGCTTTGCTTGGGACTATCCCAGTGTGCTGCGTAGTAATGATCAGGGGCGGACTGACAACTCATGGGGCCCCGGGCCATAGGGGAACATGGGGCCCCTGTGTCCTTGCCCAAACTCAAAAAAGCCTCTGAATAAGGTACCAGGGGCATCTCATGGGGCCCCCTATTGACCCGGGGGCCCTCTGGCAGTGCCCCAGTTTCCAAATGGTCAGTCTACCCCTGGTAATGATAACCAATAATCCGTCTCAGGGGGATATACAGCGCTGCTAGTTGTGACTGATGTTCTATGACAGGTTTTGAACAGTGTTGCTAATGGTAACAGTGTAACTCCTCAGGGGCTGAATCAGAATTCCTCCTCTCCTCCACAGGCAGTAAAGCAAGAATTGCATAAAAATAGAGACGGAAACGGACATCCCATAGTGTGAAACCATAAAACTTTTAATATTGGGGAGAAAAAGTAAAAATACAACTCACAAGCAAAGTGCTCATAACCTGGCACTCGGTGTATTCAGCCTTGTTGCTTGTGAATGGAAACCAAGATGGCCGCCGCGTTCCAGCGTGCATTCCAAAGGGTGGAAGTGATGTCAGCGGAAGTTGCGTCATCAAACCTCAACGTGTTTCGATCAATAGATCGTCATCAGGAAGTGCACTTCCTGTCCACGATGATGACACATTTACCAGCTATACTGGTGTGGGCAGTATTGAGCCTGTAGTTTTAGCCTTGACTATATGAGAAAAATGGTTTACAAAATATTGTAACCTATGGCTTGGTTCACACTGATGCAATGCGAAAAACGCACAGGAATCGCTGCGTTTTCTGCATAGCACCACATTGCAATCACACTGGATTCATGTGATCTGCGTGTGTCAATTAACAGTTGACACCCCAAAAGCATGTCGCAGAACGCAGTGTGTATGCCTGAGTTGGATAGCATGGGTAGGAACACCTATACAATCCGATTCCAGTACGGCAAAAAAAGTGCCTGCACCTATTTTCACGCAGATGCAGTGTAATTTCAGCCATACAAAATAATGGGCTCAAATCGGACCGCACAGGAATGCGGTGCGATTCCTGTGCAAATCACATGTGATGTGACAGTGCAAATTAGGGCTGAAGCTACCTACAGACATTGAGTGGCAGATGGCTGGCCATGTATTAAAATCCAGCACTGAACAATCTTTTCAGCCAAATGTCATAGAACCTTAGTTATTCCCATCATGCATAGAATGGAAGGGGTAGTAGTCTACTGACATTGCTATATTCCCTCGAATAATGAGATCCTGAGATGTACCCTAAAAACCAGAGACTCAAGTTCAAAAATGTAAACGTTCTCATGATGATGGCAAAAACTGACCAATATGGAAGTTTGTCAAATGTGGTGTGTTTGTAGGGGACCTTAAGGCAGCAATAAACCCAAAACCAATCATTAGATGTAGTGGCTGCATTCATTTTCTTTTTTAGCTTTCTTTTCTTCTGTTTTCATAGGTGATCTGGCCAATAATACACCTCCTGTATTATTGAAACAACTCTGAATGAATGAGTACAGGAGGCACAGCAGACAGCAGTATTGTCAGTCTTGGAGTGGGGAGTGTTGGATGGACTAGCAGATTTAAATCCACTAATTGAAACTCCAGCTAACATTTTATAAGCAGTTACAGCAACAGTTTTTTTTTTTTTCCTTTTGGGATAAAGATTTTACTTGAGTAAAACTGATCATTGTAACTTCCCCTGCTAGTGTTGAATGGTTTGTCTCATCCCTGTCACTGATATAATCTGCTAGAGAGCTTGCTCTTTTGAAAAATAACAGACTCACTGGCCAGATCACCAGATGAAAATAGAAGAAAGAAAGAGACTAAAAAAGAAAACTAATGCAGCCATCACATCTATGAACTGGTAAGCTGCAATATAATAAATGCTTGCTTTTGGGTTAACACAGCTTTAATCACAAATGACCATTCATTGAGTCTGTTTTGCACCTAACACCCAATCTGATTACACCTGTCATTTTGCTGCAAGCGTGACCATACAAAGAAAGGATTTTAGTAGTTGTGATCAGCAGTCATCTTATTTTCATGCATAAGATGTGACAGTATGGGGGTTATTTACTACAACTGCATGGTGCAAAATCTGGTGCAGTTTTGCCTAGAAACCAATCAGCTTCCAACTTTTATTGTTATTTTTGTTGATCAAGCTGAACTTATGCCGCGTACACATGATAAGAAAATTGCCTGAACAATTTCGCGGAACCACTGATCGAACGCTTTTTTTTTTTCGTTGATGAGCAGGATGTTTTAACCAATAACGATATTGTGAATGAAAAAATCTGGGTAAACAACAGTGAAAAATGTTGCCGTTTCTATGCGATGGTATGACGGTCGTACTAAAGAAAAAATCTATCAAGCGCTATCACGCATGAGCGGAAACAGAAGATGATCTGGATGTTTATGTCCAAGGAATCTTCGTAAACACGAACAAAAAATCCAAATGTTAAAAGTAGATTGGCCTAATGAGATAATGAAACCAGAATTACGCATATTATATATTTTTTATGTATCACTATGTATGTATATAGGTAATGTAATAAACCAGGGCTTGAAATTTCCGCTTGCCTGCTCGCTAAATGAGAGGGGAAATTCCTTTCTGGTGAGCACAATAATGCCCTGCACATTTATTGATGGAGCGGGTGGCTTGCAATGCGATCCCCAGGCCCCGGGGATGGATTTGCGTTCCACTTGTGCTCCAAGCCTCGTTTTGAGGCCGACTTCCAGTTTCCGACTTCCAGCTTCTTCTTCAGGACCGCCATTACACTGGCAGTGCCACTGAGGGGACAGGTGCAGGAGAGGTCCGCTCTCCTCCGCTGAGGGAGACGCGAGGAGAGGCCTGCTCTCCACCGCCGTGGGGGACACGAAGAGAGGCCGATATTTTGATTGCACCCTATTGCTATTAAGCTATTGCTGTTATGTTTAAATTGGCATAATAA